TCAATTTTTGTAATATTATACATAATATTATTCTATTATTCCATTAGTTTGTGGATGATATAATGAGGAGAATTTCTGTTTGATTCTAAATTTTGTTGATAATTCTCTGATTAGTTCATTAATAAATTCTGATCTATTATCTGATTGAATTTCTTTGGGACATTCATGTCTACAGATTATTTCTTCAAAAATAAACTTAGCAATAGTAATGACTTTCTTGTCAAGTATTGATTTAGCTTCAGGTCATTTTGTAAGATAGTCAATTGCTGTAATAATATATCAATTTCTATTTGTTGATAATTTGCAAGGTCCAACTAAATCTATGACAATTCTGTCAAAGGGTTGTTCAATTTTGATAGGATGTAAAGGTTATTAGTAGTTTTTCTATCAGTTTGTTGGCAAATTTTACAAGTCTTCACATAATTTTTAATATCAGTTTCCATGCCAGTTCACCAGTATTAATTTGCAATTTGTTGATAAGTTCCTCAAATTCAAAGTGTTCAGATAGTGAATTTGAATGTAAATTAATTAAAATAGTTTCTATTTCATTATTCTAAGAGGTGTTGTTGGTTCTTTTCTTCTATATAGTATTCCATCTATTTGTAAAAAATGTTTTGATTGATTTTGTATTTTTTGTTGTTGTTAAGCAGTTGATCCTACAGAATATGTTTTATTGTTCAAAAATTATTATAAGTTATAATAAGTTATTAACTCCATGTTGTTGTTAAGAAGAGAGTTATTTTCTAGTGATCTTTCGAGTACATCTGGAATAAGGCATCAGCATTTTGATTCTTTCTACCAGGTCGATAAGTAATAATAAAAATATATTCTATAAGAGACATAATCCATTGATTTACTCTAGCTGAATGACTTTGTTGATTCTTAAATAACCATCTTAAAGTATTGTGATCAGTTATTATTTCAAATATAGTTCCAAGTATATAATGTCAAAATTGTCTAACAGTCCATATTACTGCTAGTGCTTTTTTTTCAGTAACTCCATATTTTTGTTCATTCAGTTTTAGAGTAACACTTGCATAAGTAACTACTTGTTCTCTTTCATCTTTATCTTTCTAAGATAGAACAGTTTCAAGTTCAGAGTTAGAGACATCAGTATAAAGATAGAATTTCTTTGTGAAGTCAGAATAAATTAAAATAGGTAAAGTTGTAAGATGTTGTTTAATTTGTTAAAAAGCTTATTCTTGATTCATTATCCAAATAAATAATTCTTGATTTCAAAGTAATTTGAAAAGTGGTGCAGCAATTTGAGAGAATCCTTTTACAAATTTTCTATAGTATCCAGCAAGTCCAAGAAAAGATCTTAATCCTTTAATAGTTCTTGGTTGAGGAAAGTCTTTTATCTTCTAAATAGTTGAAGGGTCAGGAGAAATTCCTTCTTCAGTTATTACATATTCAAGAAATGTTAATTTTCTTTGGTAAAAGTTACATTTTTCTGGATTGAGTTTTAAGTTTATATTTCAAATTTGGCAAAATACTTTGTTGAGATGTTCTAAGTGTTCATCAAAATCTTTTGAGATATATTCAAGTTATCAATATATACATTGGCAAACTTCTAATTATAATCTCCAAGTACTGTATTCATTATACGTTGTAAAGTTGCTGAAGTATTGCATAATTCAAAAGGCATAACATTAAATTCAAAAATTCTTCTCTGGAAGTGAAAGCAGTTTTGGCTTTATCTTTTTCTTTCATTTTGATTTGCCAATATCCAGAGGTTAAATTTATTGATGAAAACCAGTGTGCATTTTCAAGTGAATCCATTATTTCATCAATTCAGGATAATGGATATGTATCTTTTCTAGTAATTGCATTTATTTTTCTATAATCAACACAGAATCTTTTTTTTTCATTCTTTTTGAAAACTACAACAATAGGTGAGATCCATGAACTAGTTGAGCATCGAATAATATTTGCATCCAACATTCGTTGTATTTCTTCAGAAATAAATTGTTGATCAGACAGAGTTGTTCTATAAGGTTGTTGTTTAATTAGTGATTCATTTCCAGTATGTATTTTATGTTGAATTAAAGTACTTCGACCAAGTTGATGTAATTCAGTTACAAAAATATCAGCATTGTCTTCTAATAGTTTGATAAGAAGTCTTTCTTGTTCTGTTGATAATTTTCATTATTCAATAACTTTTTCTTTATATTGTTGTTCAAAATGATATATTTGAGCTTCTTGATAGTCAGTTGATTCAAATTCATTAATTTCACAACTAGATTGTTCAAGTTGTTCTCTAATAGAGACTGGTTTAAGTTGATCAATTAGTGCAAGTTGTAAAAATACCAGTTGTACAATTTTCTGTTGAGGTTGGATAATATAATCTTTTTCTGAGTTATTTTGAATAATAATACTAATATTTTCAGTGTAATCAGAGTCTATTGTTTCACCTTTTATATTGATTCCAAGTTTAGCAAGTGAAGAGCAAGATATTACTTGACATACAACTCCTACAGGAATTTCTATAACAATATGTATATCTACAAGAGTAACTTGATGAGGAGAAATTCTAATTGGTCCTTCTTCAGTATAATAAACATCATAATTAGCATCTGTTAATGAGCTTTTTCTGATAAATTTTTTTGTTTTCATTATAGACTTTTATTCCATATTATTCAGTATTTTGAGTGACAGATTGTTGTTTCCAATATTCGTTAAGTTATTGTGAAATTTTATTAAGGGTAGAATAGATATCATCAAATTTTTCTTTAATTTCAATCCATTTGATTTGAGAAGATTAATCAAAAATAGAAATTATGTTTACTTCTCCAAACATTTCTTTAATTATTGGATCTTCTTCTTTAATTGGTTCCAAGATCATAATCAATTTTCTTTTATTCATTTTAACAGATAGTTCAGATTGTACACAATCATCACATTTTTCATTATCACAAGGAATTAGACATTTTGACAAAGTTTGACATCAATGTGATCAATTTTTGCTTTTTTGATATGATTAGCTTGTGATTGTATAATGTGAATTGTTTGCTAGAAAGATTAAAAATTAGATAATTTATCTGGTGTGTCAATAGGGATTTGCTTGTTGATATTATTTGAAAATAAGAAAGATAGATCTAAAAAATTTTGTATAATGGTGTAGATAGATGAAGAAGAAAAAGAAGAATTAGCTGTTCTTTTGTGTTTGATATTGTTAGTAGTCATATCAATAAAGTGTTATAGAAAAATATTGTAAATATATATTTTTTATTTGTTTTTGAGATTTTTTATTCTTTTTGTTTTTTGTAAAATTTTATAAGAAAGAGATAAAAAAGAGAAAAAAGAATTGTAGAGTTGTAACAATATTAAAAAATAATAAATAGGAAAATACGAGATGAATGAAGATTTTTTATTAATATGATTTATATTATTAATTATAACTTTGTTATATGAGAAGAAATTTTTTTATACTTGGTAAAGTGTGACTCTATCCAATTGAGAGATCAATAGGAAAGAAATGCAAAAGAAGTTTATTATTATTATTATTATTTTCATAATAATATCTAACTCTATTATTATTATTATTATTATTATTATTTTTATAATAATATTTATAATTATTAATAATAAATATATATTTATATAAATTTCTATTTTAAAAATAAAATAAAATAATATAAATATTTAAGAAAAGAATATTATTTTGTAATTTGCTAATTAAATAATTTTTTATAATTAATAATTTCACAAAAAAAATATATTTTGTTCTTAAGAATAAAAAACAAATTTCTTTATATAAAATTAGTATAAAACTTTATTATAATTTGATATTTATTATATTTTTTACAAAATTATAAAATTTTTAAACTAATTACAATATAGTAATATATAATTGCTTGAATTATATATAATTAATTTTGTATTTTATTAATATTTTTAAAAAGCTTTATATATATATATTTAGATAAAATATTGTTTTAAAACTATTTATATTAATATATTACTATTTAAAAATATAATTAAAAGTAAAAACAAGTAATACAAAATGAAATTATATTTAAAAATAGAAATCTGAAAGCTTTAAACTATCATATAAATATATATACACTATCATTTCATCAAAAATTATTTGATATGCAAACTTGAAAATCAGTTTAACTATACAATATACTATTATTAGATTTAACTTTATGACATCTTCTAATTGCATATAAAGTCAATAATTTTTTTATGTTTTAATTATAAAAAAAATATTGACTTTATATGCAATTAGAGGATGTCATAAAATTAAATCTAAAAAATATGAAAAAATATATGTTAAAATATGTGATATTATCTAAAATAAAAAATATTTATTAGTAAAATTAAAGAGAAGACCCCACATTTTTTGTATTTTTACAGTGCTCGCCATAAATAATGAAAATCATTATTATGGCTATAAGTCATGCAGGTTTTATTTATTGACTCACAACTTTACAGGTACGTAGGCCCGATGGCCTTATACAAAAAACATATAATACATTAATGATTTCATTTACACGACCCACAGAAATACTCTCCCATTCTTCCTTAATTAACTCGTGATAAATACTAAACTATTATTAGAATTGATTAGCCTAAAAATCCACCGTCGAGATTATAATCTCCTTATTTTTTATAATAATTCTGTTTCTAAACTAAGAAATTATTGACCGATTTGTTTAGTCGCGTATTTTTGGACTTTTACATATCGATATTAGATGATAAAATTTATAGATTTGAATAACAAATTTAATCCTTGCATTGTTTTTGATAAAACTACATGTATTTGATAGAATTTTTCTCTTAAACATTTCAATCAAAATTTTTAATTTCTGATTTCATAATACAGTCAACTCTCTAAGTGCATCCCCCTAGGGACAGGCGTGCATTTAGAGAGGTGTTTTACAAGTTATAAATAAATAACGGAAATTTTGCAAAGAAACCCAAAACCAGTTTTGAATTCTTTATTAACAAACGGCTATTAACGTTAAGTTATATAAAAATTTTTAGAATTTTGATTATTGACTTGAAGGTATAAGTGAACTATGAATCTCCCCCAGTATTTCTGCGAAATTTGGATAGAGAGTTGAATTTTGCATTATTTGATAGAATCCGGGTGTTTCCCGTACTTTTGTAAAATTTTTTACGACGAATTTCATTAAGTCTGCTTTTAGATCGTCCCATTTCCAGCCGGAAGAGAATAATATTTCCGCAGCATCATCTACCGTTAGTTCGTCCATGATTTTTAGATAACAGATTGAACGTAATTCTTTAATAAGGTATTTATCCGCAATGCTATTCATTCAATTAATCGTTGAGAACAATTAATAAATTAAAGTAATTAATAATAAGTAATATAAAAATAATACCTAAATATAGAGACTAATGTTTCCATCGGAGTTTGCACATTTCCCAATGAAACTTTATTAGTGTATAGGAATTCAAGCATTTGTAAGACAACCGAAGGAGCAAAATCAGTAATCTCAATAGTGATAAAACCCTCCGATTGGACAGCTTCCATCCAACTTCCTTTTAACATTTGACAAAAATATTCAGAACGAGCGGATAATATACAACTACTTGCGTAAATCGCCTGTCCCTGAACGACCAACTTTAAATCGGCCATCTGCGGATTGTTCAGTTGTCGATGCCAAGCTTTCACCAAGTCTTTTGATGTTGGCTCCGGCGGAAACGGTGATTTTTGTTTGTGTGCTGATGTTTGACATTTATCGAATTCCACGCCAATGATAATATTTGATGAGAGTAATGATCTCTTACAAAATTTCCGTGATCCTTTGATTATGACGTAAAATAAACATTGTTATTTTATTTCGAAACTTTGAAGAGAATCTTTCTTTAACATACCCCAACTTTGCTCTGCACACGAAAATGATTTCTCGATAGCCTTCTTGGCAATATAACCCTGAGTAGGATGTTTTATGTAAATATACGCTGCACAAGAATTACGTCTTTCCCAAACAACTTGTCCTTTCCTTTCATGTTCATTCGGTATCGCAAATAAAAATAATTCACAATATTGTGGATGCTTTGTTGATTCCTTGATAACGTAAATATTTTCTATAATTGCGAATAATAAAAAAAGAAAGATGACGAAAAAGAGAAGGATGTATGTGAATTACCGAAACAAATCTTAATTGCCAAAACATCTCTGAAGAAGTGGCAAATGGTGGACAATATAATTCTGTCGAGACATTTAAAATATTATTTATTGTAAACTCATGTATGCTTGGTCCATGTATGCTTGTCATTTTTTTCTGAAAAATCGAAAATGGCAAGCAGGCGTTGTTGATATATACAATCGAAACAAAGCTACGAAAGAATTATTGTATGTACAATAAGTTATGTATAGGTAGTAGTAAGAGTGACAGGCAACAGTAGTTATAGGTGAAATAGAAAGCGATATTTAGAAGTAATCGCTATATGATTCAAATAATCGTAACTCCACTTAATAATCGATAATGCATTAATCTGCATTGGTGCATCAATATTTTCTCTTATTGGTACTGACACGTCAAGAATCATGTGCTTTATATATTATATACATGACACTCTTTCGATTCGTAACGGTAATGGTAACAAAAAATTAATAATTGTGTGTGTCCATGTATAGCGATAATTTATATCGATATCGATATCAAAATTGGTTATTTAAATATGCCGCTGATAAAGCAATCTTTTAAAATGTTATTTTTTTTGCGTGGCATTTGACAAGAGAGAGCACATAATATCGCATAACAAAATATTTAATGCTAAAGAAACCCCACTATTGAGATGGTGGGTTGACATCGAGAAAACTAAACTTGTACATAAATATAAATATAAATACAAGTGTTACAAATGAGAAAATTAAATTATTCTATACTTCGAATTATGGTTATAAATTCCCATGCTTAAAGGAAAAAGATATTGAAACAATAGCTGAAGCTGAAATCAAAGAGATTAATGCAACACTCAGTTGACTCAATTGAAACGCAGCACTTTCAGATGGTGGAATTGTTGCATTATAATTGGAAGCAACATTACCACCTCCTGGTCCACCAAGAGTAGGATTCCCTGCACCAAGTGTCTGATATGGGGTGGTTCCATTTGTGGTGGTATCTGGTCCATATCCATCGGGTGGCCATGTCGTAGTAGCATTTCCTTGATAATAACATGTGATATTCACCCAGTCCACAGACATTGTATATACGCGACTCTTATCAGACCAATCAGTTGGAGTACCTGCCCAATTTGCGGTTCCTTCAGCAGCCATCCCACCGTCCCAAACACTAAATTGAATTCGTTGTGGACCTGACGGAAACAGGAATGAACCATTCGACGCTTTTGTATCTTCAAATTGAAGCGTACGAAGCGGTTTCCCATCTAGAGACCATGTAATATGATCAGGCATCCATTCAATCTCATAAATGTGATAATCTGCGGAAGAGTCACTACCGATTTTGTGATGAGTTGAATGACCATAGTCAAGTACACCTTGCCAATAATAGTTTGATTGTACTTCACTTGGGGCGAGACCTACCCATTCAAAATCGACTTCATCTCCTTGCAGACCTCGAGTCTAATATCATGAATTAAATATTATTTTATGTATCAAAATTGTCGTCGATAAGCCTAATAAATAATAGTAATACTTACAATAAACGATGATACGACACCAAGCTTAGAAGAAGCAGTCTTTATCTTTGCAGTTATCCATCCATATTCCATCCACCTCGTCGACGAGACAGTCGATCCAAATCCTTGATAATTACCAACGGAATTTTTATTGACACCATCATATTTCATCGAAAGTAAGAGATTACTATCACTATAACTTGCATAATCCGGTGTGAAATCAGATGTCCAATCATACTGGTAGCAAAGAAAATTATAAATAAGATACCATATTAATCTTACGGATGGAGACATTTAACAAATTCTCGCGAATAAGGATAAAAGTATCTTACGTTATTAGGATTTCCAGAAAAATTATTGGCATTTATCATCTTTGGCGCGTCGAAATTATCAAAAAGATTAACGCAATATGGTGTAGGATAGCATGATTTTGAACTATAGGAATTATCTGGATCACAACCGGTTGAACAAAACCTTGGATTATTTGAGCACCATCCATTGTTACAACATGGTGACTCTTTCGGGCATTTTTTTACGGGATCATAATTGCTACATCCCCCCATTACTAGTGACGAAGGTGGGATAAGTGAGAGCAATAGCAAGAATGAAAGCGGCATTGCTATGCATAGCAGCTAAGAATTATGTATAGAAATAAAGAATTAAATTAAATTTAATAAATCATTACAGTCAACTCTCGATAGAGTGAACTCTCGATATAGTGAAGGACTAATTAAACTCTCGATATAGTGAAGTTGAGCTCAAAAACAGTATATATTAAATCCTCTCGATATAGTGAATTTAAAACTCTCGATATAGTAAATTTTTGAAAATTTTTCACTAATAGCCCGAACACCTTCACTATAACGAGGTTTGACTGTAATCAACTTTTTACCTTGCGACAAAATATTGAATCCATAGTTCAGAATTTGAACGTCTCTTTCACTATTTATGAGAAAAATTCATATCATTATTTTTGAAGTGACAAAGCGAAGTTTTTGAAGTGACAAAGCGAATACACACCTTTATTTTATTTCACTTTTTCGAGTTTGGTTCGTTTAGTCTCCGTTGATAAAAGTCAAAGTTTCGTTAAATTTCCTTTTATTATTTTGTTGTCATTTGTGTTATTACCCGGATAAATGCGACGAATGTAAAGAAAGAGAATTGTCTCTTTGTTTTCACCTGTTTCGTTTGTTAGTCTATAATGTGAAAATTAAAGATTCTTTATCCAACCAAGGATATAAAAAGGAAATAATTGATTGTGTTGGCCAAAAAGAAAAATTAAAGTTAGGGTTGTTCTGGTATGGAAGGTTGCATGTATGTGAGGAGAAAAGAAGGGTGAAGTAATAATAACGATAAAGGGAGAGACCGTAAATAACAAACGAAATATAAGTCTATCTACAAGAGTTAAAATTGTATGCACATGTTCTCGGAATATAATCATACACGCACAGGAGATGTGCGGTTGATTACATTGTGCATACGCGTGCATCGATCACGTCCATTTAATTTTTTAATTTTACATATTAGGAACATTTATATAGTTCTTCTCGTGACAATTGTGTGATATCATTATGCGCGCATCAATAGTTTAACCTAACACATGTACATATTGTTATCATATTTTAAAGGGGCTTTGAAATCATTGCTTCATAATGATAATGATTGTGCATAGCGTATGGCATAAATTTCTTCAGAGTTGAACAACTCGGGGACCTGGTATTGCATTTAGAATCGTAATCAATATTAACGTAGGTTTAATGGTTATAATAAAATTTTAGTCGTTTATGGAAAAAAAATTAAACCAAAAGGAATTACTTATTGCATCATATCCTGTTACTATGACTTATCTAATCCATTTTTTTAGATAACCCTTCAGACAATCGAATTGGATACTCCATTACTATGAAAACAAATCTTTGTTCTCATTGGCTAATAATGTATATCAAGTGATTGATCGGTAATTTTAGCTAAGGAAAACAGTTTCATAGTAAAGTAATCCTACCATACCGATACAGAAATTTTGGTCATACGTCCGGAAGTTGATTCAATCGAGTATTTTTAGAAAATATTAAACATTTGTGTATTATTAAATAGTTTTTTTTAGAGAAAGAGCAATTTATTACATGTATAAAGAAAACACTATGTGACATTATCTTATAAAAGCCATAACAAGTATTTTATGTAAGCAAAATTTCATTATACGTATTATATTAATTAACAAGATTTACTATATACAGTGCATACAACCTAGTCGCATCAAATCATATGATCACAGTCTCAAATTGATATGGTGCATAACATCAAACGTTTGTATTTTATAAAATGTATAAACTTCTTGACTAGAAGTAAATTCAAAATTTAATCCGTAAATATGGTAGACAAAGGCTTATTCTACCATATCTACGGATTAAATTTTGAATTTACTTCTTAGTCAAGAAGTTTATACATTTTATAACATACAAACGTTTGATGACTTTAGATGTTATGCACCATGCATTTTATAAAATACAAACGTTTGATGACTTTAGATGTTATGCACCATACATTTTATAAGATACAAACATGTGATGACTTTAGATGTTATCCATATGTGAGTCAGAAATTCTTAATTGACAATATATTTTATATTCAAAATTTTATTAACTTATTAACTAAAAATTAAATACAAATGTAACTGATAATTTATTAAAAAATCCTGTTTTATAATATTACTGGTTAAATTTGAATTTACTTCTTAATCAAGAAGTTAATAAAGCTTTTAATATAAAATATATTATTAATTAAGAGTTTTTAAACTATAATAATAATTAAAAAATATAATATCAAAGTTTATTAATAAAATATAACAAATATATATTTATTAATAAATTTTGATATTATGTTTTTTAATTATTATTATATCAATTAAATATAATAATAAAAATAAGATTATTTTTAAAAAATTTAAATTATTAAAACTTGATTTATTTAAAATATATTTAATTTTTAATAAAATAAATAATATCAAATAATATACAAATTTGTGTGTTATTTAAAAAAATATTAAAAAATAATATTAATAAAATTTACTTTCTAACAAATATTTTTATATTAATTTTTTTTAAAAGTTTACAAAATAAAAATATAAAATTTATATTAATTAAAATTTAATTTTGATAAACATATAATTGTTTTATATTAAAAAAATTTTAACTTATTTTATTAAAATTAAAAAATAAATATTAAAAATTATTAAATTTTTTCAATTATTATTTGATTATATTAAATTTTGAAAAATAAATTTGTTAATAAAAACTTAATTAATCATATAAAATAATTAATATAATATATAATATTTAAAGTTATTAAATATTTATATTTTATAAAATATATAAACTTGATTAAGAAATAAATTCAAAATTTAATCTGCAAATATGATAAACAAAAACTTATTTTATCATATTTATAAATTAAATTTTGAATTTACTTCTTAGTTAAGAAGTTTATATAATTTATAAAATATAAAATATAAATATTTAATGACTTTAAATATTAAATATTATATATTCTATAATTATAAAATTATATATATAAGTTTATTAATAAAATATAATTTTATATAGTAATAATAAAAATATAATAATATTAAATTTAATAATAATTTTATTAATAATAAATTTATTTTTATATAAAAATACAAATTACAAATTATAATTTATAATTTAATATATATTTTTATATTTAATTTGAAAAAAATTTTCTAAATGCAAATAATTTAATTAATTTTTTATATATTTTAATTATAAAAAATAAATTTATTTATTTATTAACAAAATATACAATAATTAACAAAATTATAGAATTATATATATAATTTTATTAATAAAATTGAAATTTTGTTTTATAAAAAAGTTTTCAATTTTATTAATAAATATTTTTTATTTTTATATTAAAACAAAAATTATAAATTATAATTTAATATATATTTTTTCTGGATTTTTAGATTTTTTTCTGATAAAGTTATTTTAATTCAAAATTATTGCAAAAATTTTTTATAATTATAATATAAAATTAATTATAAAAAATTTTTGCAATAATTTTGCAATTAAAATAACTTTATCAGAAAAAATTTAAAAAATATATGTTAAACTATAACTTATAATCTTTATTTTAATATAAAAATAAAAAATATTTATTAA